AGGTCTTGTCACAAAGAACCGCTATTAAAGGAACTAGAAAGTTGTTTAAAACCAAGTTTAAAATCTTTGGTGCGTTTACGCATTTTCATCAAACTCAGCATATAATTAATTTAAAAATTACCTGTGTAAAATCCCAACTATTCAAAGGTTAGCTAGAACGTCATCACATTTTTAAAAACCGTGTTGCAAACCGTTGCAATAAAACTTTTATGATGCTATATCGGCTGCAGCAATGGCAATCATCAGCAAATGAAAGACTGGTGTTGCTTTTCTTCATCGATGTTAAACCTTTTATATAAACAGCCTTCTGCTGCAGCCTCTTTAGATGGAAGATCTTGCTGTACAAGTTTTCATACACCAGACGTTCAGCTCAGATTGCCGCTGTAAAATTAATTGAAAAACGACCACAGGAAATTACTGTTACTCTAAAGCCGTTGCTTTATCTTTAAGAAAAAATCTATCCATGATGAGCAGATAAATTGTCTTGAAACAGAACTTTGTGCAAAGCAAATAAAGATAGCAAAATTGCAATTAATGATTATGCAGTTTTTTCACATAACATTGAAGTGAATATCTTTAACGATTCGAACATAACATTGAAGTGAATATCTTTAACATTAAGGTTTGTCATTCCATTCAACAAATACAATTCAAGATTAGGATTGTAAAAACTGTTTTGTTAAGATTCTTATTCATCTAGTTAAAAGATCAAGAACTGGTAAAAATTAATTCTTGAAATAGAAGATATCTTTGTGGGAGATATTTTGCATCATAATATTTTGCAGTGGTCTTCGCTTTTTTTACTTCTGGAAACACTTTAGGCTTTCTCAACTAAATATACTCAAATGGTTTATAGCCTTTTTTCCAATTTATATACATTTTAGTTCAAATTTTTTAACGCAACAATCTTTAAGTAAATTAAAATTAATTTTAAAAAATTATTGAAGAGCCCCTGCAAAACAAAAAATTTAAGAACGTCTATCGAACAAACATGTTGAAAATGAATTAGATACAACTCTGTCGTAAAATGATATAACAATAGTAACAATTTTTGTTAATAAAAAAGCAAAAAAAAAAGTTTTTAGTTTTAAGGTTAAAGAACCTGTTTTATTTAATCCAAATAAGATCCAGATTTCCCTAAAAAAGTTGATGTAAGTTAACTACATGCTTTTATTTTTAAAATATGCATACTTATAGAGGCGTCTGATTGCTACGCTATTTTTCCATTAATTTTTCCGCTAACCAATCATTTGTAAACAATTTTTAGAAATATCGTTTTTCAATTAAGGCTTGAAATCGTACTTTTCAAAAAGTTGCAACATTACAAATTTTATATTGTTAGCTGTAAAGTGACATTTTATGACTCAAGGCGCCAAAATATTTATTTGACCTACCTTTGAAATGTCTAGCCTTGACAACACGAAATTCGCTTCGAATATATGTTAAATCTTTCAATGCAGCAATACTGCAAGATAGCTTTTTTTTTCTCTTAAAGACTATAAAATAGCTTTTTCTTATTTTTAAAATAATAAATCCCCTGGCTTTGATGACGTTTCTAGTATTACAATTATACCAAACAAAAAGTACATTTCAAGACCTTTGATTTATATTATAAAACTTCCAAAAATTGAAGGGATTTTCTTATTTTAATGTTTCCCGGAAACATTAAAATAAGTAAAAGTATGTCCTGGGGTCAATGCTATAAACAAAAAAACGAAGTTTTTACCGTAAAACTCTTTATTTTTTGCGCACTACACGGAGGTTTTGCGTAAAAAGCAAAAAAAAAAAAAAAAAAAACAATCCGTTGCTATAAATATTGTTATATATATATATATATATATATATATATATATATATATATATATATATATATATATATATATATATATATATATATATATATATATAAAATATGTAAAATTCAATAAAAACGGCTGCGTATAAACTTTTTAAAAATATATATTTGTTTGTATTTTAATATATTTTTTCGATATTTCGCTGATCTATTGTGATCAGCGTCATCAGGTGTATTAAATAAAAATCGTTACAAAGAAAATTGTTGTAATAAAAACTAACCGTTAAAAAGATAACATTAAAAAGAGCATATCAAAATACAAAATAGCTTTAAATGTTGACGTCAAATAATCTAACAAAAAATGGCCCCCAAGTTTTTGTCGTCACGTAATCACCACCATCCCTATTTAAAACTTTTTCATCACTTCCAAGTTTTTGTCAAACTTTAGCTCTGTTTACTTCGAGTGACTCTCGATATTTCCGAATATGATTCTCTGGAGCGATTGATATGGTTTTGGGATGTAACCAATCAAATGTACCCTGGCATGATTTGGAATGTTCGGTAGCACCTGAACTGGCCCATTTTCCTTTAACACTATTTTTCTGGTGTTCAATACATCTCGATATATCTTTCTTCTTAGTTTCTCCAATGTATATAGAATTGCATGAACATTTTAGTTGGTAGACGCCTGGATTTGTATTTGGAGGAAGTTTTGTCTTATTTTTGCATAAAATATTGTTTAAATTTGGAGTGGATGTAAATATAACTTTTATGTTATGTTATGTTTTGTTCTTTTTTTTATTTTGCAAAACTCTGGGTGGTGCGCAAAAAATTTCGAGTTTTACGGTAAAAACTTCGTTTTTTTGTTTATAGCATTGGCCCCAGTTTATAAAAAAAAACGATCAATTAAAAACTTCTAATAAACCTGAATCAGTGCTTTCTGTATTTTCAAAAATATTTGAACGTGTTATTTATAACAGAATTTATAACTATTTTTTTAAAATAAATTTATTTTACGCAAAACACTTTGGTTTTTTGAAAAATTATTTTACTGAACACGCACTAGTTGAAATAGTAGACCAAGTTACTGAAGATTTGAAAATATGTTATTAATGACGTATCAGGAGATCTAAAAATTTAATCATTTAGATTACGCTCTAGCAAAGCTTAACTCGATATTGTTCGTTGACGACACATATATCTTTATTTTAAACAGTGAAGTTAACCAAATTTATTCTAACATGAATTAAAAAATGTCAATGATTGGTTTAAGGCTAATATACTCTTTTTATTTAGAAAAGCAAAATATACTTTATTCCATAATTAATCACATGCCAAAACTTTACTTTAAAATTACCTGATTTGATTTTAAATAATAAACTTATTGGAAAAAATGTCAATAAACTTCTTAGGAACTCTTATTAATGAATATTTATCATTGCTTTCCCATAAAAATTCAATCCAAAATGAGTAAAACTATTAGTTGATGTACAAATCTAACATCAGAATGTTTCAAACTTGATTATTTTGTCCACATACATTATTTCATTCACTATTCAAATATTAAAGTGGGCTACTGACAAAACTTACAAAAAAATTTTCTCATGCATGCAGGCTTATATATAAAAAACAAAAACAACATGCAAAACCATTAATGATAGACATGTAAATGATGAATATATATGAAATCATTAATTACCAACACTTGATTTTTATCTATAGATATAATAACAGCTTGATTCCAAAACATGTTAATCATAAATTTACCGTAAATGTGAACAAAAACAATGCTCTTATAAAAAAACCAATGGAGTACTAGGAAATATTCTGAATATGGAATAGCCCAGCAGGCATTTAATCCTAAAAAGACGTCTTTTGATCGTTCAAAAGACGTTCATAACGTTCATATAACGTATTTTTAGGAGCGGATTATAAAATGTACTTCAAAGCAAACACGTTAAGTCATTTGTCATTATTTCAAGAACCCATGGGAAGATGATGAGAATTTATATTATAGATATAGAATAAAATTTTTGAGTAGATTGTTTATTATTTGATGAGGAATCAATTGTTCTTTAATATAACTTGCTGAAATCTACTACTATATAATTATATATGTATAATTTAACCTGAAAAAAATCAATGGTGTTTACTCGTATTTTTAATGTTACTTAGGGGGGAAGGAGACAAAAACTGGCATCATATATAAGGGGAGATTGGCCGAAAATTGACAGAGTTTGACAAAGAGGGGAGGGATCAAAAACTCTTTTTGTTTTAAATAAATAATTAAAAAGTCAATTTAGGTGGTTCAGTAAGTAAAGAAAAATGGTTTGGATGCAATTGTTTTGTCTAAACATTGAAGACAGTGTGTAATCTGGAAAAGAAAAAAAGAGACAATAGAACACATCAATTGGAAAATTCCATATAATTGTAAAATTAATCATCGAAAGTCATCTGGAGCAATGGAATCCTAAGGTGCTAATAATATATTTCAGCAATCTATGAATCGAAATAACCAAATTTAAATGAGTAACTTGGAGATGGAGATACATCTACTTACAAAGAAGTTGTTAACTCCAAAACTTATGGGATAAAATTTGGCATTGCACCCGTTAAATTAGAATTTATCGGACACATTTACAAACGAATAGATTCAAGGATTAGGACATTGGTACAAGAATATAAAAATACGTCTACACCATTTGGTGGAAAAGGAAATTTAAAAACAACTCTAAACAAACTCTTTTTTTTTCTTTAAATTTTCACAACTACATATTAATTACAAATTTTTTTACACTGCAAGAACATTAACAAAATATACTTCCAATACAAAAAAATAATATTTTACAAAATACCATTCAGATAAACATAGGAAGCAATAATTATAATAATAACGATTTAGGTAATAAACAAACATAATCTTGCACGTCATATATAGACCGCCCTCAGGTAATATAAAAGCATTCAACAAACGCTTTAAAAGTTTAATTACAAAAAATGATATTTGTGGCAAACTAATTTATTTTGTGGGCGATCTCAATTTAGACTTGCTCGATTATGAAAAAAATAAAAACATCAGAAATTTTACCAGTACTATATTTCAAAATTATTTCATTCCAACAATTAACAAATCAATTCGCATAACAAAAAATAGTGCTACACTAATTGATCAAATTATAATTAACGTGTGTAAATTTGTTTTTATGGTAGATTAGTCTTACAGCATGTTTCTGACGTCGATATAAAGTTTTTAATTTGGTTATATGCGTACTCGCCCAAGCTATATTCGCTTATATGATGTAGCTATGTATAAAAGAGAAATATATAAGTTTTAAACTACTTTGCGACAGCATAGGTTTTGCTTTATAAAGTAGACCTATGTTTTTTGATACTGCTTTTTTCTTATTCAACCGGCCTATAGTATCTAAGTTAACAACAAGTAAAAAGGAAGGGGAGTCTAATGAGCTAAAAATGGGTGGGTAAATTTTTCAAAAATTAATAAAAGTCCATTCTCGTGTAATAACCACTTGAGAATAATCAAAAAATAATGTTAAGTTAAAATATAGTTCTCAAAAGTAGTTGAGGCTAAATAATTGAATTAGGCTAAAGTCTTTCCATTAGTTATTTGTTGCAATAAATGAGACATCGAAGTTGTTAATTTTTTTTTGGCTATGAGACTTGGAGATCTGAAAACCAGTCGTGACATCTTAAAACTATGCGGTAGTGAGGTTGGTATCTTGTGATCTAATTAAGAAGTCACAACTATTTTTTAGCGTAACTATTAAAAAGTTTAAAATAAGACATTAGACTTAATGTTTTTATAACAAAAAAATTAAAATATATAATTATCATAAAAAATGTAGTTTTAATTAATGGTAATAGGTTAAATTTAGCTGTTAAGCATAAAAGGTCCGTTTCAGTGCTAAACGTCACGAAAATAAATTGTAAATAATGTTTAAATTGGCATTAAAAAACTAATAACTATCGAGTCTAATAGATTTAGCAAACCAAGAATGAAGGAAGTAATTATAGTGTTTGAGAATAAATAGGATAATGATTCTAAAAACTATGTTGTTGGTGTTCTAAAGGTTAAGATTGAGAGTAAAAAGAGTTTATTAAGAATTAAGAGATGACTTCAAAAATTTTGGATAAAATCATGGTTTTAGACTTAGAGTGCTGCGAATATTTAAAAAGTAAGTATTTTTTTAATCTTTCTTAATAATTAGGCATAAGTGCGGATGTTGTATATATACAAGGGCAAATTTTATTTGTTTTTATCGTACTACAATATTTAGAAATATGAAATTGTATATATTTCCTATCTTATTAAGGTTTGGGATTTGAATCCGATGAGATAATCTCATTACTTGACAAAGAAACAATACTAGAAATTTTTCCAGAAAAAAGGCGCAAAGCATTTGTCCATAGAATGCTGGTCAGAAATGCTATTACCAAATATTTAGTAAGAGTTTACGTGTATATTATTAAAAATACGTGTATATTATTACAAATTTTTGTCAATAAATAAAAAAAAGTTTGTATATCATATTAAGTATAATTTTATTCCTCAAAGTTTCTCAACATTTTTATTAAAGTTAAATTGAAAAAAAAAATTTTTTATTGCAATATTTAAAATTTTTTTTTTGCTTGATAAGATGAAAAAATAAATTATTGAATTTTAAAAAATTTTTTGAAATTTATGTAAAGTTCACGTCGTTGTTTGTTTCTTCTGCTTTTAATTAAATGATTTTCGATAATGCATTAAACAATATTTACAGTTTAATACAGATTAGCTTTATTCTATGTTATGTGTGACTCGGCGACATAATGGTCGTGATTTTTTTTATTATGAAATTTTATTTTAGGAAGAAGTTGCTGCAGCTGATTTTAATATTAAGGTCAGTTTACATTTAAACTTAATTTTTTTACTATAATATGTAATAAATAAAAATATTTTTAAATAATGTAACTTCGACTAAGTTTAAAAAATGAATGTACACACAGGGTTTTCTCAAGTAATAGTAGCGCACATAGGCTTTTTGTAATGCCACTAGTGATTAAAAAAACTTGGCCGAGTTAGCACCCTTCTAGAAACAGCACTGCGTTTACACTTGTATACATATATATTTATATACATACTTACGCGCACATATGTATTTACATATTCACATACATATAAACTAGATATAATCCTTCAGTTAAGAATGAATACACTTGCACACATACAAACAGAAGCGATTCAACAAATAAAATAAAAGAGAATTTTTTAAAATATTTGTATATTTTCAAAACCTTTTACGCATTTAAAAGCAAATTTTTTTTAATTTTTTGCGTTTTAAATTAAGTTAGAACTTTTGTGAAAAACTCAAAAATCGGATTACTTTTCGTCTTCAGAAACAAAAAATCACATTGAATAAATAAAGAATCAGTAAAATGCAATTTCACTGGGAATAAAATCCAATTCGAATAATAAGGAACTTCTAATAACTCTTACCAGAAAGTTCAAATGTGCAAACACTGTGTATTATCAAAAGTTAATATAAACACATTCATATATCTAAGGTGAAATCAAATAACCGGGAGCTTTCTAAAATAGCATCGTTTTGCTTCAAAGTTTGCAGTAAAATTCCTCAAAGGGCGCTAAACAGCCGGTTAAACCTAAAAAAATCATTTGCATGTGTCAAAAAGTATTATAAATAGTAAAATAATTATAACACATTAACTATAAATATGAAAAAGTAAAATTAACTAAAATACCTACAACATGTAGTTTTAATATAAACGTTTAATCAGAATGTATTTGCTTACACAAAAGTTTTTTATAATTAAAACATTACTAACTAGTGCAATAAACGACAGACGGAATCCTTTCTTCACATGAAAAATCTTATCTTAAATTTTTTTATACATATATATATATATATATATATATATATATATATATATATATATATATATATATATATATATATATATATATATATATTTTAAAATAAAAGTTTGTAAGTTTTATGTATATGAACTATTATTTATATGTATAATAGTTATACATATATATATATATATATATATATATATATATATATATATATATATATATATATGTATAACTATTATACATATAAATAATAGTTCATATACATAAAACTTACAAACTTTTATTTTAAAATATATATATATATATATATATATATATATATATATATATATATATATATATATATATATATATATATATATATATATATGAGTGAGTCAGAAGCCAAAGTATACAAGTGACATTTTCATAGTTTTGAGATACAGCTGTTTAAAGTTGAAGTATTTTATTACATATATGTATACATTATATACATATATGTATACATATATGTATATACATATATATATGTATATATATGTATATATATACATATATACATATATGTATATATATACGTATAAACATATATATATGTATATATATATATATATATATATATATATTTATATGTAAATATATATATATGTATATATATATATATGCAGGCTTCGGCAGGAATAAAAACCGTACGGGCTATGAAAAGCCCGTCTTGAATAGACTTGGCAGGCTATGAGGGCCGCCCGTCTAGATGGTCTTGCACGGGCTTTTTTAAACTTTAAAAAAAATTCTAAAGTTTGAACTTTTTTTTTTTTTAATTTGTTAATTTCTCTTCTTCTTTTTGAATGAAAATGTCATTGAATATTAAACATTTTGTGAATTGCACTAAAATAATATGTTAGAAAGCGATTAACTGTTTAAAATGCTTAATTACTTAAGTAATTAAAACACTTCAGTAAATGAGTTGGATAATACTTAAAACTAAGATTTCAATAATTGTTTTTCAAAGTTTTCACTTGCACAGATCTAATTTCGTTTCACGTGGGTTAGTTGTTTTATGGTTGCTTTTGTTTAGATTTCTTACTCGAAGGAACTTTATTCAGTTTTTTATGTTTGTTTTTTTTTAATCTTTATTCCAGATAATATCTGGCAAGATATAGTCAAACGAATGAACGTGAAAACGACGGGAAAAATCCTCGAAACAACCATGGCGTTTCATCACGTTTCCTTATTCAAGCATCCTAACGTGTTTTTTTACCAAAGTCTTTTTGAGTATATTTATATATTATTGTTTTATTCAAGTATTCGATTAAATTATACAGGTTTTTATCGTGCTTTTTTAGTTCATTCGTTTCTCTTATTCTTTGTGAATAAAAATATTACATAATATTTTCCAAATCTAATTTTTTTAATTATTCAGCAAATAGTTTGAAATCTTTTTTTTTTTTAACCTTGAATCAATGAGCTCGATAGTTTTAGAATTGTTTGGTATTAGCTTGGTAATATGATACGTAACTGTTATTTTTCAAATTCAATTATTTATATACTCTTGCATTCTATTGGGCGTGCAAATTAAAAACTTAAACTGTTATTTATATTTTTATAACTTTGCTTTACCTATGCCTATCCTGATCGGAAATAGTTATTCTGATACGTGAATAAAAAATTTGAAATCTAATTTCTTTTAATAAAATAAGTTTTTATTTAGAAGTACTAATAATTTCTTAAGATACCGGGGCTTCCGTTACTTTATATACAATATAAGCATGTATATAAGCGTATGTATGTTGCTAGCTTTAACGTTCGTAGTGCCCTCTATAAATGCTAATGTTTTTGATTTTGCCAGACCTTTTATCTCGCGAAGCAATTCTTTTTTATATTTTATACAAACCATACACCATATCTTCACAACAAAAATTGTTCCATTCTCCACCTCAGTTTCTTTTCCACAGACTCCATCTTTACCCCAACTCAAAAATGTTGCTAATGTAACTCTTCTACCAGATGATGCCATTACTATCTTTACTGAAAAACTTGAATAACTTGAAAAACTTGAATGACTGGATAACTTGAATAACTTCATAACTATAAAGCAACACTATTTATATTATCTACAAAAATTGATTAGACGTTTGCTGATTTTTAATGAGATATTTCATTTTCAATAATGAGTTATATAATTGCATATTAAATAAACTGCCGTCTCTTTAAGAAAAAACGTGAAGTTAACGCGGAAGTTAACGCGGAAATATCACTTTAAATGTCTTTAAAGTAAGACAAACTAGTTTATCAGAAAAAAGCGAAATACATGGATAATTAGTTTATTATCGTTATTATTATCAACATTGAAAAACCAAAACAACATGATACTTCTTGTGCATCACATGTGTATATTTCCCTATTTAATATAATAGTTATTAAGTTTTGAACATAATATGGTAACTGTTTGGTATTATATCAAACAGTTATCGTCGTTTAAAAAACTGTAAGATTTAGTTATATTATTTTCTACATTATGTTATACAATAATGATTAAATTGTTTAATTTTTATATTTAAATATAAACAATTATAAGTAGGAGTTTGCTATCCACATTAAAATTATGTCATGAGAGAAGTTTTAAAAGAGTATCTTAATAAAAAAATATCAAAATATTCATTTTTTTTTTACACAAAACTTATGTTTCAGACGGGCTTTATTTCGCCCGTCTAAACTGACTTAGACGGGTGCGGAGACGGACACGGGCTATAGCCCGTGTCCGTCATATTTTTATTAATTATTATTCTAATTTTTTTTTAAAAAAAAAGAATAATAATTAATAAAAATAATTGCTGCGTCATGCGAAACCCTCAGTCAATGTAATAGCACTTTAATGCGTGTCAGGTTATTTGTCATTCAGTGAATGTACTGAAGCACCAGGCAGCAGGATGATTCGGCATCATGTCACACTGCTCACCTAAGTCAGCAGAAAAAATAATATATATTTAAAAATATATATATATGTATATATATATATATAAATATATATATATATATATGTATATATATACATATATATATATACATATATATATATATATATATATATATATATATATATATATATATATATATATATATATATATATATATATATATATATATATATATATATATATAAATCATTATTATTTTCAAAAATACATGTATACAATGTAAATGAGTGTCTGTCAAATCTAAATTAAAACTCATTATTGTTATAAATAGAATAAATAGTTCATATACATAAAACTTACAAACTTTTATTAAACTATGCTTATTTTTCTGATTACACAAATATTCTTAGATGTTATAGTTGTTTATTTAAATATTGTATATTGAACTAATAAATACTGATTTTACAGGTTAAACCAAATCAAGCAATTATGTTGTAAGTTTTATTATTTGGTTGTTTATAATATTTTTTTTTTACTTTGAAAAATCTTGCAGCATTTATTTTTTAGTTTAGTAATATTAGTGTTATGAACAATTGTTAATTGTAAATATAAAAATTATAATTTTAAAAAAAAAAAAAGAAAAAGGAAACCGAAGAAAAAAATGTTTCAAGCATTGTAAACCCTGAAGTAGATTTTGCTGTGAAACCAAGCAATGTAAGAGTTTTATAATATTGTTTTAATTATATGTTTGGGTGTGTTGTTGTGTGTGAAATTTATACTTACATACATTAATATTGTTTTAATATATTTTTTGTATGCTAAACTTAGTTCATTATTTTAACAGAGATAATTTAGAAAATGTGATATGATAAATTAAAAAAAAATTTTACAAGTTGGTAATCTAATTATGAAGTTGTAAAAAGCTATATATATACATATATTTAAATTATTTTTTTTAGCCAGAACTACCAATACCAAAATTTTCTGCCAAAGTAAGATTAAGCTACATCGTATTTAAAATCCTATTCTTGTTTTTCAAACTTTTAATTTATGTGTATGTAATTTATTAGAATTGCTTATCTCACCATTTTAAATATATTATCATAGAAATTAGTATTTTCAACGGTGAAAACTGAAAAGGTTGAAAACAATCAAGACAATGAAGAACAACTATCAAGTTTAGATAATGTGCTGTTACTTAATGAGGTATTTATTTATACTCAATATTTAAACACATTTTAAAATGATGTGAAAACATAGTGTAGTATCTATATTTAGTTTTTATCATAAGAAAAGTAATAAACAATAATTAAAATATTTAAAATCGCATTGATTACAATCTAATTATATAAAAACCTCAGATTAATGAAAAATTATTATAACTAATAAGATTTAACTAAAAAATGGTTATAATTTATTTAGTTACAACTTAATTGTAACCAAATAAATTATAACCAAAATTAGTAAATAATTTTTATAACTAAAATTTATTATATTTATAGGACTGTAGTCGAAAGATCAAAGTGTAAGTTGTTTCTATATTTTTTATTGTTACTGCACTATATTTTGATATATATATATATATATATATATATATATATATATATATATATATATATATATATATATATATATATATATATATATATATATTTAAGGTCGAGCGATTTTTATAGCAAAAAAAAAAGTTTAAAAATCAATATTCCTGAGACACGAATTGATGTCTATTAATTATAAGATGAAAGTTAAAAAATATTTTTTAGTTTTAATAAGATCTTGAGGTTTAGATTTTAAATCCTTGATGGATCCTAATATTTTTGAATTTTTTTTTCCTAAACTATATTAACCTTAGACTCAAAAAAAGCAGAAAAAAATGCTTGTTTTATCAATAATAATTTTATTAAAAAAAATTTTGAGTGAAAAAAATATTTGCAAAAATATACCTTAAAACCCCCGTTTTGATGAAGACAGGGGTTTTTTAATGAAAAAAAACGACATTATTTTTTTCTCTTCAGTTTTAAATTAAAACAAATATTATATTCAAAATATAATATTTGTTTAAATTAACTAACATTTCTAAATTGTTGTTACTAAACTCCCATGTTTTTCCTAAATTAGTATGACATTATCGATAACAGCAAAATATAATGTATGTAAATAATGTATGTATTTAAGGATATTTACATATATAGAACACATTTATTTTTATTTTAGAAAAAAATACAAACAAGCATCAAAAGAATGCATATTGGCCAACTGCCAAAGAAAAACATTGAGCCATTTCCGGCACCTACAATATTATCATAAAATGACAAAAGAAAAAGCAAAAGAAGTTATTGGCATTTATAAATTAAACAATTCAAAAACATTAACACAATGCCCCTTGCAATGTTCATCAGTTGTAAAAAGGATGGACGTCCATCTTATGAAATCTCACAATTTAAAACCAAATACTGAAACTTTCAGAAATTTATTAAAAGAAGCAAAATTACCAGCTAATTATACGGCAAAAACGGAAAAGACGGCTGATCTGACTTTGTCAACATCAATGTTAACAAAAAAATTAGACAATATCAAGGAGTATACTAACGAATACAATGATGAATTGAATATCAACAAAACAAGCAGTGAGTTTTCTTATTCAGAAAATGAATCAAGTGACACTGTGGATGAACTTTTCGTTTCAAATGAATGTTCTCCAACAACTCTGCATCAAAGCATAGAAATTCTACTTGAAGCGTTCAAAAAATTTTTGATTGGTCCAGACAATAAAAAAGAGTTTATATCGGCTGATACAACAGTATCTGATGTAAAACGTTTTTTTCAAATTGTTGGCGCTACGCAAGAGATTTCTGTTTATTTTGCAATTGACACTATTAGAAAAGTATACGTCGCCAAACTTGAAGAGAAAGGTTTAAAAGCTGGAACTATAAAAAAGTATTTATTTTCATTAATACACTTTAGTAGATTTTTAATAAATGATAAAACATCATTACAATTGTCTGGATGTAACTTGGCTGATTTATTTAAAATAAAGGACATGCTAACAACTTGGACAAAAAGTTATAATAGAGCCGACCGACAAGGTTTTTATAAACGTCAAGAACGAGATCATAATTCGCGTATAACACCAGATGAGGTGTCGAAGTATTTTAAATCAGAAGGTGCAATAAATGCTGTTGAACTTTTTAAAACATTTTCTTTATTTAAAGAAAGTATCACTCAGAAACAATATACAACTATGAGGGACTATTTGATATTTGATTTGTTGATCAGACATGCTCACCGTGCCGGCGTTGCTGCAAACATAACCCTAAAGGAGTTTTTTAATGGTGCACTGAGTGAAGATGGAAATTATACAGTTTCTGTCTTTAAACATAAAACAATAGATACACACGGCCCTGCACTTGTAGTTTTAGACCCTGAATCGTTTAAATGGTACACAACGTTTATAAACAATGTTAGATCCCAGATTTCAACAAAAGTTGACAATATATTTATTTCATGGTCTGGAAAACGAATGAGGTCTGGTGCTGTAAATACACAGGTCCAATTCATGTGGAAAAAAGCAGGCAATTATAATCCTGAAAAGCGTAACATATGTTCAACTCTCATACGAAAATCTGCATCTACAGGTATACGAGAGCAGAAATTAGGAAATTATCAGGAAGTTGCTCGCCTTATGGCACACTCTGATGAGACAGCTAAGAAATTTTATTTCACTCAGGATAATCAAGCAAATGCAGCAAAAGCCAGTAGTACTTTGCAGTCTTATTTTAAAAGTCAAAAATCCACAACTACTACTGAAACTAATCAGAATGAAGCTCTTGAAAAAAGAAAAAAATGGAGTGATTCAGAGGAACAAATACTCAAAAATATTTTCACACAACCTCCGACAATGGCTGAAGTTGTAACAAAATTACCGTTGACTGGAATTAATACCACTCCTCGTAAGATGTTTGACAAAGTCAGAACCACATTTAAATCACCACAAACGAAACGCAGTTCTAACCTTTCACCACCACTAAAAGTAATTTTTTTTAATTTAAATTATAATCACAATTTAGTAAGGTTTATTTTCACTCTTTTCTTGCTGTTTATGCTTTTATAAAACAATATTTATATCAATATTTTTTATTTATTTTATTTATTGATATAAAAATCTAATTTAATTATTAAATAAAATCTAATTTAATCATATTTTAGAGCAACCTTACACCTAAAAGAATAAAACTCTTTGTACATGACGATATTAAAGAAATAAGGGGGATCTTCAGTGACCTGATCAATGGAGGTCCCATCCTTAAAAATACTATTAAAGAAAGAATCGAAAACACAAGACTTTCCAAATACATAATAAATCAAATACGAACAAGATTAATGTATGAAGAAAAAAAAAAAAGTAGGGTAAGTAGGGTCTTTTTTATTATTTCTATTTTCAAAAATAGTAGAAAAAAATAGTTTTTTTTTTAATTATAATAGATTCTAACTACTAATAACAACAAAAAAATAACAACAAACTTTATTAAATATAAAATTTTTTCTTTTTTCAATGTTATTAAAATACTGTAAAACCCCGATAAGTCAGAGTCTGAAGGAGAACAGATCTTTAAATGACTGACTTTGTAAATGTCCCAGTAAACCAAAGCTTGGTAAGTTCGATTTTTTAAAAGTGTCTGACTTATCATAATAAGTCAGACAACTCATTTCTCCGCGCAGCGGACTTGTTCGTCAAGGTTCCTGTTTCGGAGTTATAGAGTTGAGAGAGGGTTATAACCACAAATAAGTCTGTAGTGGCCTTATCGGCCTTGAGGAGGTCAATTAAATAAAATAAAAAAAGAAAAAAAAAAGTGACTAAAAAATAGCAATTAACACGCGTTAATGCATTTTTAATCAAGAAAACAAAAGCTTTAGGTATTAAGATTTTTTAAAGAAAAAATAAACTTTCTTATAATATTGAAATAGCCTAACTGTATTATAAAAACCAAACTTTTCATAATTTTTAAAAATATTTTTACAGATATAGATCAAAATACACGCGTCACAGAGTGACATCGATTTGTCACGCCATGACGATCTTAAATGCACAATAACTTGTAAAATAGAAAGTAAAAAATAAATAAAAAATTATCCTAACATATATTTTTTTACCAAAATAATATAAATTTTAAATATTTTTTATAAACATAGATATTATAAAATTGTATTTCCTCGATAAAAGCAAAACATTGTGGTGCATGGAATTGCTTCTTATATCAAAACAATATCAACAAGACTTACCAATAATTGAAAAATTATGTGAAAATATTTAGTTTGATGAATTATAATAGATGCAATGTTACTTTTTTAATTTTTGACAGTTCAAAGTTTTCTAAACTTATTATTATAAATTACAATTATAACTAATTTGAAAATAAATAATGTAAATATTACATATTAGCAAAAGTAACTAAATAAAACAGTACAAGTTAGGAAATAGTCTGACTGAATCCAGGGTAAGATTTAATGAAAGTTTGACTAATTCAAGGTACAAGTTACAAGGTAGCCAGCAACTTGACCTAAAAAGAAATAACAAAATGTTAAAAAAGTCAGACAATTTTTGATGGATTCAGTAACAAAATATTATATTTATTTATAAATAAAATATATATTTTTTGCTTATTTGGGACTAAAGGTCAATTTATTTTTTACTTAATTTTTTACTTAACTTTTTTTGCTTAACTTTTTAAAGTAAACAGTTTTTATAAACTTCTTGTGAGTTTTATTTGTTGCCTTTCTATTGCTAAATTTGTTAAATTTAGATTGCTAAGTCAGGGATATTTAATTTTAGTCAGAGAAAAGTCAGGAAAAATGAAATCAAAAATTTTCTAGCCCCCCTGAGTTAACAAGATTCTACTAAAGTGTGTAATAATGTTTTGTCATATTAGTGACTTTAAAGCAAGAGTTTTCTGAAGTGAAGAAAACTTTTAAATCTTGATCAAATTTGTATTCAAATTTTTGTTATTAAAAATTTAATTTTTTGTTATTAACAAAAAATTAAATTTTTATTAAAAGTTTAAGAATCATTATATATTGATTGTATTTATTTTTTAGTCTTTTTTCCACATGAATTGGACTTGCATGTTTACAACACCAGACCTCTTTCGTTTTCCAGACCATGAAATAAATATTGTCAACTTTAATTGAAATCTGGGATCTAACATTGTTTATAAACGTTGTGTACCATTTAAACAATTTGGGGTCTAAAACTACAAGTGCAGGGCCGTGTGTATCGTTTTATGTTAAAAGACAGAAACTGTATAATTTCCATCTACACTCAGTGCACCATTAAAAAATTCCTTAAAATTAGCAGCAACGCTGGCACGATGAGAATGTCTGATCAACAAATCAAATATCAAATAGTCCCTCATAGTTGTATATTGTTTCTGAGTGATACTTAATATAATATGTTGGAGTGAAAGATAGAAGTAGTCGAGTTAGAAGGATAGCACAGAGTAAGCGGACAGGATTGCACACGATGTTAGAGAATGCAAATACATACTGTTTGTTGGGTCATTAGCTAATGTACGCCGACGAAGTTGCGATTGGAGTTCACATTACATTAGCTCTTCCTTTACTTTCTTTGTCATAGGACACCTAAAACAAATTGCATAAATACATAAAATCTGTAAATGAGCATCTAAACCGCTTACGGGTTAGTTTAATTATGTTCATAAACAATCATAACAAATCTTTTCATATTTAAAATAGGCTGATATTGCTTGTGGGTTCGTTTTTATTTAATTTTATTTTTTTTAAATTTTTTGTTAATTAAAATTGAGTTGATAATGCCGCCAGGCAGCAAAGTAAATTTCTGCCGAAAGGCCAACTTTTTAGGAAAGCGGAAGCTGTTAGCGGCGGCCTCTCGTTCAATTTTTAGCTGCAAAATGTTCTTTTTTCCGCCTCCAGTAGCTTCTGCTCTTCTATTGGTGGCCGCAGCCAGAGTTATTTTTTGGAGGCAAAATGTTTTGGAGGCCGACCCCATTAGGGAAGCGGTAGCCATTGTTGTCGCCCCAAAAATAAATTGTTGAAACAGAATCATTTGGAGGCCGCTTCTAATGGCTTCTGTCTCCTAACTGGCTGCGGCCGCCAAATTGGAGGCGGAAATGTTTGCCTCCCCGTCAGCGGATATAATGAAAAATAATTGCTTGTTCGCTTTAATGCAATTAAATATTAAATAGAAGCAAATATTTGACATCAAATTTCATTTTATATGATTATGAGCAGTATTTAAAGAAGTTCTATTTTAAAAAAAAAAAAAAAAGTTGGAAATTTTAGTTCTATGCCGAATTACTGCTATAATAATTAATAAATCGAATAAATCTTTTTGACTGAAAAAAAAAAAAAAAAAAGGACTGATTTTGGTAAAAGTTTTTTAGAACAAGTCGACATTCTAAAATTACGTTAAATATTAATGCTAAATACTTATTTTTAATAGTCCTAGAAATGCTGAATACTTATTTTCGATAGTCCTAGAAAAACAACCGCGCTGACAAAATAATAATTTTTTTTCAAAATTTTTTTAAATAGTCATTTTAAATATAAATATATTTAAATAGTCATTTTAAATATAAATCATGAAAAACAAAACTTTGATATCAAATGTTTAACATTTGTTCTCAGTTAATAATTTAATTGCTCGTTAACTTAAAAGCAAACGTGCTAACTTTCATTACATCCGCCGCCGGGAGGCAAATACTTTTTCCTCCAATTTATCGGCCACAGCCAGCTGGGAGGCAAAAGCCATAGGAGACGGCCTCCAAATGGTTTTGCCTCTAAAATTTCTACTGGGGGCCGCCACCGTTGGCTTCCGCTTCTCTCTATTGGCGTCGGCCTGAAAAACATTTTGCTTCCAAAAAAATTTCTGACTGTAGCCGTCAATAAAAAGGCGGATGCAATCGGAGGCGGAACATAAAAATTTTTGTTGCTAATAAATAATTAGGAGGTAGCCGCCGTCTGCTACGGAAGAAAAGTATAAATACTTTTCATTTTTAAAATTTTCTAAAATTGCTTGTGGTTTGTATTTTTTTTTTTTTTTAATCTTTTAAAAATACTTTTATTGACAAAAAAATTTTGTTTCATACTAATATATCGTAACTCTTTGTAAAGACTAAAATATAGCAAAAATAAAATATAGCAAAAACGTTTGCTAGAAAATATAATCTTTTTTATACTAAAAAGTAGAAAATAAACTTTTTAATTTAAATTTAATAGTTCAGTAAACTAAAGATTAACAGTTATTTTTTATATATATCTTGCGCAGACCTGTCAATCTTTAGTTTACTGAACTATTAAATTTAAAATAAAAAGTTTATTTTCTACTTTTTAGTACAAAAAGATTATATTTTTTAGCAAATATTTTTGCTATATTTTATTTGAAGATTTGATTTAATTTGCGAATATATAATGTATTCATTCAATTTCCATCATTTTGTTGAGATCAAAAAATTGCGCTAAATTCAAAATAATTGATGAGACCTGAAATTTTTGATTTGATCTAATGCAATAAGCTTTTCTGTTAAAATTTAAAAAAGCGAAATACTCTTTAAAATTATTTTATACAAATTTTCTTTTCCGAAAATTTCAACTGGATATCTTCAATATTTAAATCAGTGGCAATTTTATTTACAATGGAAATTATTGCAAGGTTGTTCAACCTGTCCTGGCGCATTGTCGATCTTAAATAATTTTTGATAATTTTCATTAATTTTGAAAAACATCTCTCGACGCTAGCTACTATTATTGGTTATGTAAGAAGAATTCAAAATGCAATAGATACATTTGCAATGATTTCATTCAAACCGTTTGCGTACAAATATTTTATAGCATTTTCAGGATTCAAACATTCAGTAAAATGAGAAGAAAGAGATATTAATTTACTTAGTTCCTCGCCAGAAATATCTTTTTTTCCATTTTCAGATAGTTTTTTTTCCAACGCGATGCAATGAGATTTTAAATCATCTTCTTTGACTGTTGAGAGCTTTTTAATATCAAATAAAAAGCTTAAAGCTAAATTCCAGCATTAAATCTATTTTCTATTGCAATAGTAGCACATTCAAATATTTTATTAAATATATCTTGCTTATACTTTTCTTGTGGACATAACTGTTTTTTAAAGTTTTGTTCAGGTTCATCAAAGAATCTTTCTTTTTCTTACTCTTGAAGCAGATTCTGCTGCAAAACTTTTTTCTACCTTTAAAAAAGAAGCAAGTTCTTGTGCAATACACACAACAGAGTCAAGTTTTTCTTGTTTGTAATTTTCCTTAAAAAAATTATTCGTTCTTTCCATTGCTTTTAAAGCCTCTGATTGGTTTAAGCTAATTGAAATTTTTGTTAGTTAAATTAATTTCGAATAAAACTTTATGCCAAATTACGATCGAAGACAAAAAATCGAAGCTTTTTATTTTTAAAGCAATAGACTCTCCTGTGATTTTTGCAATTGATTCATTAGCGGTCTTGGCTGCATCTTGCAGTGCTTCATAAATTTTTGGCATTTCAAATCGAAGTGTTTTTACAGCATTGATGTGGCTTTCCCATCTTGTATCACTTAACGGTTTAACTGTTAAAGATGGACACTTTGATTGCAAAATTAACCATTTTTTTTTGTTGAAGCAGAAAAAAAATTGTAAACTTGATCAATTATATTGAAAAACATAGCAATTTTAGGTGAACATCTCACAGAATCAACAACTGCTAGATTTAATGTGTGACTGCAGCATGGAATATAAACCGCTCGGCTGTTTTTTTTTAGAATAAAAGCCTGTACACCATTTCTTACGCCTTTCATATTTGCACCATTGTCATAGATCTGACCTCTTATGTTTTCTACGGACAAGTTATTTTTTACTAGAGAGTCAATAATCTCATTTGATAAATCTAGTCTTATCGAACCTTCAATTTAATGAAATCCAATAAAACTTTCATTAATGTGAATTTCGTTCTTATCCTCTACATCAGCATATCGAACCAGCATTGACATTTGCTCCTGGTGACTGATATTTGGTGTACAATTAACAATAATTGAAAAATACACGGACTTTTGGACATTTGAGCAAATTTTAAACTTTTTTTGGGATGTAACACGCGCAACACCTGCGTACCTACTTTATTGATGACTACCTAGCCATAACGTTAATAAAAAAAACACAAGTTTTTTGGTACTTTTCAAGTGTTTAAAGTGTTTTCGAGCATGCACAAATAGTTTAAAAAAAAAAGCTGTCACATATTATAAGTGAAATAAATACTTAACTCAACTGCATATCACGACGTTAGAATTATTTTGCTCTATCTCTACTATTTAAATTTTAAGATAAAGCGTTTTATAGATAAAATCTTTACGTCCCAGGATTTTTCTCCCTATATTTTTTACTTTTAATTAATAACCTAAGAAAAACTAGGAGAAAAACATTTTTCTGAGGTACATAAACTATCATTTACCCAACACTTTTTAAAAATGGATATAAAAAAGATAATTCTAACGTCACGAAATGTTGAGCTTTTATTTCTGAATAAGGGATCGTCCATAAATTACGTCACGCATTTTTTGACAGATTTTGACCTCCCCCTCCCCCTCGTCACAAAATCGTAACACTTAAGAAGCAAGTTTTGTACGAGTCGTCACAAAACTACCAAACCCCCCTCCTCTTATAGCGTGACGTAATTTATGGACGACCTCTAATCTCTTGTTATTTGAACGCTTTTTATTGCTCATTATTGAAAAACATTTTCGCGCGAATTCCTTCAAAAATGAATGGTGAACAGGCTTTAGCTATCTAATAAAAAAATTAATTAATTTTTTATCAACTTTTTCTTAATAGAGTTTGTTTAATTAACTTTTTCGGAAACTAGATTATTAGTAAGTAAAGCAGCAATAATAAGAAAATTTTAACAAGTAAATGCAAAATTTCTCGTCGATGGATTCTTCTACTTTAAAAATATTTCACTTTGGATTTATAAAAGGAATTCATATTAAATATTTGAAACAAAAAAAATAACTCTAAGTGCACGATTTATCAACGATAAAATAATAGAATTTCCCTACTTTTTTGTTTAAAAAAGGCGTTATCTGTCTTATATCCGTTATATTTCATTTATAAAAAAAACGCACTGCATATACTAACTTATAATTTTTCGTTTCTGTAAATTATAACTTAATCCATCTACAAACAGAAAATCCGCTTAATACTATAGATAGACTTCATAGCAACAAAAGCAATAATAGTAATAATAATAATAGCAATGAAGTTAACAACAATAGTAACAACAATAATAATATTAACAAATATCACATTCATATATTAAACAATTCCAAAAAGTAACAATGACGGTAATAAAAATGCAAATAAAATGTAAGTAATATTAACATCACATATAATACTAATAACAATAGTAATAATAATCTATTATAAGCCTAAGATTTTAATTTGCGTATTTTTCTATCAAAAAGTCAAAAAGACGGGTTTTAAATTGTGAAAAAGTGTCGAGGGATTGAAAATGAAAAGGTAAATTTTTTACGCATTGGTTTGTAATAGAATTATCACCGTATTTTACCGAACAGCGATTTGGGATAGATAATTTAAAGTTACTCAAAGATCGAAGGTAATAACGAGAACTTTTTTTAGTGGTAAAAAAATTGGAGAATGACGGAGGGAGGTTTACTTGTTTATGATTCCAGACAAATAGACAATTTAATAGATAAACAAGATCACATAATTTGAGTATTTTT